GCCATAACTCTTTCCTCCCTTCGCGTCTCTCTCATCCATCTCCTCCCTGTCTCCTCCACCCATCACTCCAGAACCAACGCACCACGAGGGACGTGTTAAAGAAGTACATAGCAGCATCGGCGGCGTAATCTATCTTTCCTCCCTTCGCGTCTCTCTCATCCATCTCCTCCCTGTCTCCCTCACCCATCACTCCAGAACCAACGCACCACGAGGGACGTGTTAAAGAAGTACATAGCAGCATCGGGCGGCTACAACTCGCACATGGCGCAGCAGGGCTCCGTGATTTCCGGCCACGTCAGCATCTGGGCGTCCGAGGTGGTCATGGGAGACAAGACGGTCTACAACCGCCCCCCCACCGCGGGCGGCCGCGGCGGCGCTGACGTGGCAAAGGGGACGTTCCGCGTGGTGCAGATGCCGCCCAACATGTGGCACGTGGCGGTGGCTATGGGCGACACGCGGATTGACGCCACGTGTGACGGCGAGCTGGTGTGGCGGCGGAGCAGTTGGGGCCCCTCCACGACGGCCAAAGGGCCTGTGCGACCACTCAGGCATTTGCTAGCGGTATGTGTGGGTTTGAGTGCGGTTGAGTGGGCTTTGAGTGGTCATGTAGAGGGTTGGGGAGGGAAGGCCGTGTGACGGCGAGCTGGTGTGGCGGCGGAGCAGCTGGGGCCGTCGACCACGGCTGAAGGGCATGTGCGACCACTCAGGCACTTGCTAGCGGTGAGCAATGCTGTGAGTGCGGTTCTGTGTGGTTGAGTGGGCTAGGAGGGTGGAATGGGGAAGGAAGGCTGTGAGCGAGCAGGCAGAGGTCAGACAGCGATCTGGTGTGGCGGCAGAGCAGTTTGGTTCCGTCCACCTGCTGGCGTTTGGTGGTTAAAGGGCCTGTGCGATCACTCAGGCACTTGCTGGCGGTGAGCGCGGTTGAGTGCGGTTTAGGAGTGGCCGTGCGGGAGGTTGAGTGAGCATGGGCGTGGCTTGAGTGGGTCTGATCGGCCTTGAGAGTGGGCGTGTAGGTAGGGAGGGATAGGGATGGTTCGCAGAGGTTGGAACTGGAATGGCGGCGAGCAGCTGTTGCAGGCAGCAGTGGTCTTTCCAGGGTTGTCGCAACAGACAGCCAACGGTTCATGTCATGTCAACCACTTGCAACAGTGGTTGCTTGCGCCAGCTGTTGCTGTGGCGGTTACCTGCCGAGGGGATTGTTGGGCCCAACGATCACTGAGCGAGGTCCAACGAGGGTTCACTGATTGCAGCTCATCACTTGAGGTCCCCACAGTGAGCAGTCGCCTCGCATGGGAGTGCTGGTGGTTGGTGAGTGTGGTTCTGGACGGCGCTGCTGGGTGGGATGCGGTGAGTGCCACCTGGGGTGGGATCTGTTTGTATCTTTCACATGAGGTGACTGTTGAAAGAGGCAGCAGAAGAATCCGTGTTTTTGTAGTAATAAAGGTGAGTTTGTTCACCACGTGCTGTGTTTCCCACGTGCTGTGTTTCCCACGTGCTGTGTTTCCCACGTGCTGTGTTTCCCACGTGCTGTGTTTCCCACGTGCTGTGTTTCCCACGTGCTGTGTTTCCACGTGCTGTGTTTCCCACGTGCTGTGTTTCCCACGTGCTGTGTTTTCCACGTGCTTTGTTCTGAGAACACCATGGGATGGGATGGACAGATTCACCTGTTGCTTCCATTCCGATGGCCTATTCTTGAGTCGACTCAAAAATAGGCTCAGCACCACGTGCTGTGTTTTCTCTAAGAACACCATGGGATGGGATGGACAGATTCACCTGTTGCTTCCAATGGAGCCAACTGGAAGCAGCAGGAAATGCTTGGGGGGGTTTGAGGCGATTTGAGGCGATTTGAGGTGGTGAGACGGAACCCACAGGTGCTGGTCTTGGGATGGGTGGGTCTGGTCATCACACGGGAGGGGAGTGACTGAAAGCCGGTGCTAGGAAGGAAAGGAGAAACGCATGGGCGCATGGGCGCATGGGTGGACAAGCAGTTGCAGAAGGGGTGTGTGCAGCTGGCCCTTCCCAATCTCATATTCCCCCTTTTGAAGCTCCAAACAAAGTCGTCTTACTGTGCTTGGAACTTGCTTCTTCTGCGGCAGCTGTTCCGCTATGAGTGGATTCCCAACCTCGCCTTCTCCCTCCCGCTCGCCCCCTCCTTGCTTTCACAGTCGTGATTGCACCCCTCCTTGCAAAGCAGGGAAGAGAGATGAGAGGCACCCCTCTCGTCTCCTCCCTCCATCCTCTCTCCCTCTTGCCTCCGTCCACTTCCCTTCTCCCTCTTCCCTTCTCCCTCTTCCCTTCTCCCTCTTCCCTCTCCCCTCTTCCCTTCTCCTCTTGCCTCCGTCCACTTCCCTTCTCCCTCTTCCCTTCTCCTCTCCCTTCTCCCTCTTCCCTCTTCCCTCTTCTCTTCCCTTCTCCCTCTTCCCTCTCCCTCCTCCCTCCCTCCTCCCTCCTCCCTCCTCCCTCCTCCCTCCTCCCTCCTCCCTCCTCCCTCCGCCCTCCCCTCCTCCTCCTCCTCCCTCCTCCCTCCTCCCTCCTCCCTCCTCCCTCCTCCCTCCTCCCTCCTCCCTCCTCCCTCCTCTTCCCTATTCCCCCTTTCCTTCAGAATTCTGAACTGGTTAAGGATGCGTGTGCATCCCTTTTCTCTTGCACTGTGCACCCCCTTTCCCCCCTTTCCCCCCTTTCCCCCCTTTCCCCCCCCCCCCTTTCCCCCCTTTCCCCCCTTTCCCCCTTTCCCCCTTTCCCCCCTTTCCCCCCTTTCCCCCCTTTCCCCCTTTCCCCCCTTTCCCCCCCCCCCCCTTTCCCCCCTTTCCCCCCTTTCGTCCCTTTCTCCCATCCTCCTCCACCTTTCCGCCCTCCGCCCTCCACCCAGGGCCTGGATCCGCCCACATTGGCAGACGTGATCGCCTCAGGCGAGAAAGAGGGAGACGAGGGCATAGAGGAAGAAATGCCACAGCTCTCCACTCCTCTCCACTCCTCTCCACTCCTCTCCACTTCACTCCCCTCCACTCCTGTCTAATGCTCACTCGCGCCGTCTTCCAGCCTCCCCCCACCACAGGCCCTTGATGTGTTTTTGTCGGGCGAGTACCAGGGACGAGTGTATTGAGGGCGACGAATGCATGTGCATGAAGAAAGATTTACCCTCCCAACCCCTCTTTACTACTTTTCACTCCTCTCCACCACTCCTTCCACCCCACAGGGCTTAGACCCGCCCACGGTCGCATATGTGTTCGCATCAGGAGAGTATCAGGGCGACGAGGGCATAGAGGAAGGAAGTCAATCCCTCTCCACCTCTCTCCACTCCGTTCCCTCCACCACAGGGTCTTGACCCGCCTACAGTGGCGGATGTGTTCGCGTCAGGAGAGTATCAGGGAGACGAGGGCATAGAGGGTGACGAGTGCATGTGCGTGAAGGTGATGGCCAACCCGCTCGCCCTCATGAGCATGAGCACGGGCGGGGGCAACGTGGAGCATAGAGGAACGAAGTCCATCCCTCTCCTCTCCTCTCCCCTCCACCCCTCTCCACCCCTCTCCACCCCTCCATTCCCGGCCCTACTCTGCCCAAACCCCAGGGCCTGGACCCGCCTACTGTTGCAGACGTGTTCGCGTCAGGAGAGTATCAGGGAGACGAGGGCATAGAGGGCGACGAGTGCATGTGCGTGAAGGTGATGGCCAACCCGCTCGCCCTCATGAGCATGAGCACGGGCGGGGGCAACGTGGGCGGCAAGCAGCAGGACGTGTGCGACGTGCTGGCGTATCAGGTGGAGGGGTTCTTCAGTAAAGCCTCGGGTCTGCTCATTGGCCTTCGCGATCATCACCTTACTAAAACCAAGGTACGTGTGGTGTATGGGGATGGGGAGTAGGGTGAGGGGCAGAGGGGGCAACGTGGGCGGCGCGGCAAGCAGCAGGACGTGTGCGACGTGCTGGCGTATCAGGACTGCATGACCACCACCTTACCAAAACCCAGGTGGGTATGGCGTGTAGGTGACTATGCGAAGGGTATGATGGGGGGAAGAGAGGGGTGAAGGCAGCAGGAGTGAGGATGTGTGCGACGTGCTGGCGTATCAGGTGGAAGGGTTCTTCAGGTGGAAGGGTTCTTCAGGTGGAAGGGTTCTTCAGGTAGAAGGGTTCTTCAGTAAAGCCTCGGGCTGCTCATTGGCCTGTGAGATGCGTGGGTGGGTCTCACCAAGACCAAGGTGGGTGGGCCTGGGGAAGCTCCCGGTGCAGCCTGGGATGGGGAATGCCACCCCCGAGGCAACCGCGACTGCCAACCCCCACCCAACACGCACACACATCCGATTTTTGAGGCGCCTCGAAAAGACCTGATTTTTAAGGCGCCGCAAACAGAGGCGATTTTTTAGGGGGCTCAAACAGAGTCGATTTTCTAGGCGCCTCAAAGATTGATGCTTGCTTGGGATGCACGCATGTCGTTCCTCCATGGCCACAACACCTGAGGCAACCGTGTCTACCCCTCCACCCTTCCCCTTCCCCTTCCCCTTCCCCTTCCCCTTCCCCTTCCCCTTCCCCTTCCCCTTCCCCTTCCCCTTCCCCTTCCCCTTCCCCTTCCCCTTCCCCTTCCCCTTCCCCTTCCCCTTCCCCTTCCCCTTCCCCTTCCCCTTCACCATCCCCCCCGCCCCTCACCTCACACAGACAGCGAGCAACAGCACGATCTACTGGGAGAGGGTGATGGTGACGCGGGTGGGGGACTTTCAGCCCATGGAGGGCGGCATGATCATCCCCCACAGCGGCCGCTCCGTGCTCTCTCTCGCCAAGCGCTGCGACGACGACACGTCGGGGACGATACGCGCGTGGGTGAGAGAAGAGTGGGGCGTGGACTCGGTCACACAGGACGCCACGGCCATGCAGGGGTTGCTAGCGCGGCCGGCAGATTTGATTATGACGGCTAGCTCCGCGTCTTTGCATAGAGGGTAATTTGGGAACGTGGGCCCGGTTTTTGGATGTGCGATTGGGTATGGATGGGTTTACTGGTGTAGAATGGCCGGCAGACTTTATTATGACTGCCAGTTCGGCTTTATTCATTAGAGGGTTATTATCGTGAAGGCTTTTTATGGTTATGTTGGGTGGGTTGGGGAGAGAGGATGAGGTAGTGGCTGAAAGAGTTGGTCGGGCTGGGTGGTTAGGGGGTGTGATTCGGTTTCGGTTGTCATTCAGTTTGTTAGAACGGGTTTTGCGGTGGTTTAGCAGTCAGTGCAGATAACAATTTTAGAGTTACCTAAATCCCGTCCGGATGTACGGTAATAGCAAGCTTGTTGTGCATGACTATGGTAGTAACACAAATTTGTGGCCGAGTTATTGAGTCACTTCCATTCGGTGACGAAAGTGTATCACAGCAGTGAATACATGTGAAGCAGACATCAGTTATAACAGTTCTTGTGTGGGGTGTGAAGCGGTGGGGTATGTCCTCATTTCTCACGTGCTTTGGAAATGCTCGTGCCCTCCCGTCCCGAACATCACACCTCAGCGCTCATTCGCAGACACTTCGGCGTGCCAGGATCTCGCGTGTAGCTGCCATGTCACCTCCATCTGAACAGATATTTCCTACATAACCCATTTGGCATTGTTGCACTTTCTCACAGAATTAGGAAAAATTCCCTCGACCTTAGGGGACAAAATACTTTCCAGGAAAGAAGATCGGGTCCTCTAGTTTTTGGAAAATAGAGTCTTCGTTTCGAGCTTATGGCTCAATAAATTCCGTTTTGGGCTGGATGGAAGGAAGGAAGTTGGAACCCCTCAAACCCAACACGCTCGAGGTTTGCGTAGGTTTGACCTGCTTTCACCCTGTCGTGTCAGCGCATCACTTGCATGGCAATGGCTGGAAATCTGCGAGATTTCGCACCAGGTCAGCCTTGCACGTGTGCCACGCAAGCTCGCAAATGATGAGTCCGACCTGGCGACAGAGCGGGGCTTGTTCTCTGAACATTTTTTCAAGACAGGGATATGAATATTAGCGCCCTATAATTAGGGTCTGGACTGTGTTCAAGTGAGCGTTCCTGTCTCTAATCGATAACTGTAGAAAAGGGTTTTTTACAATGCTAAAAAACATCGTCACCATCCCGCCCGAGCATGGTGACCATCCGCTTGCAGCATCCTGCTTCAAACTTCACTCATTATGTTGCCTGTCATATTTGTCGGCACACGCTGTCAGAGCCACCAGCTCCAATTCAGATTCTTCACAAGAAATCGTTACAGCACAGCACAGCAACACCCAAACAAACGTCAGACGGCGCCACCCAAACCAACAGTCGACGTCTCAACTTGAGCTAAGCCAAACCTCCCTGACCAAGCCAAGCCGCCACTAGCCAAGATGAAACCGGCTTTTACCTACTGCATGCAGATTTTGCTAGTGCAAGTTCGTGAATGCATGTAATAGACGGTTCAGGGAAAAATGTCAGCCTGCCGGCAAAACCAAGCGGTTACCCGTGTTTAGGGTTGAGGCTCCCCCAGTCGCATGCCATGCAGATTGGGTTTATTGTTTTCTAACCGCGGGCAGATAACCGCTCGTCAGCTTTCCCCTACTGCCGTCTACTGTATGCATCTGCATAATTGCACAGGCATAGTTTGAATGCCGTTGAAAATGGCCCAGATGGAACTCACTAGACCAAGCCAAGTCGCACCCTACTGGCGTTCCTCGAGATCAAGCTGCTCCAGGAAGCTTTGAACTGTTCCGCCCCACGCGGTTGCCGCGGCGACGCGAATTTCTCCATCCTCCCTCCCTTCGACTTCCATCCGTCCCAAAACCAAACCAATCCAGCAGATCCCGTTCGTTCCTAAGCAACCAGGCCAAATTTTTGCAGAGTATTGTTTCCAGATTGCTCTGCAAATCAGGGTGAATAATGGGGAAATAGCAGGATTAGAGGATTTGGGTTAAAAAAATATCGAGACTGAGGCAGGTGCGTTTTCGGCGCGTCCGGAATTTCTAATTTTAGACATGTATCCATCGTTTTTGTTCTCTGGTTGGGGAAAAATTGCCGCTGCAAGAGATTTGGCCGCAAAAATGGACAGGACAGGCAATTTTTTTCGCGAAGTCACTAAATCCTCTGCTTCAAAGAGTGCAGCGATTGTTACTAGTGTAGTGCGCCGCCGATTCTACCCGGCGAATGGCGAGTGCCCCTCGGCCGGGCCGGGTGGCGCGCGCGAGTCACTCTTGTTTTACCGGGTGCCCCAAAACGAAAAATTAGCTCTGTTCCCAACTGTACTCCACCACACCCTCCCCCACACGCAACCGCTTTCTCCGGCACGGTCATCATCAACCACCATCAGCAGATCAAGAAACTGGCAAGCAACAATCGTTGGCCCTTTCCTTTGCCAGAAAATTCCCTTGAAATTGCGCTAGGGAGAGACGGTGCGACTATCGTGGCCCAAATGGACCACCGATCGCCTGTGTCTGATAAATCTTGGCAGCAACCAGCTCGGCCTAGGCTGTCCGTCAGGAGAAACAGTCTAGCCTGTTCGTCAGGAGATGTAGCGGCTGTACAGTATCTCGTGAAAATTTATTCCATCGTGGGCGCGCCCCCGCGGTCGTCGTTGCTCTCCGCTGGAATGGCAGGCTATCGGGCAGGCTGCTGCTTGAGCAACACACGACGACACGATACGACATGGCACGACACGACACGACACGACAAACCATGTTTCTTGTTTTCGTGTCGCACACGCCCTCTATTGCTTCTTCTTCCTCTCTCCCACCAACAGATGTTTCCCCTTCGACTTCCAGTCAAATCTGTTCAGGATTTAACAATCTGTGAAACTTTTCTTGTCACAATGACAACACGCTTCCACGGCCCCACTTGAACAGCCAGAACGTCTTCTTACTCAGTGCACCGGCGACAGAACACGCTACCGAATCTTAATTCAGCGCGGCATTGTCCTCCGGAAGTAGAATAAAAACATCGAGGCCATGGATATCCGTCTCAGCGACATCTACCCACCAACGACACCATCAAGCGCAGACTGCGGCGCCCGTCGCGGGCGCACGCGCAACACGCAACCGTCTCATTTCCCCTCCGCTGCGGCGGCTGACGACCCTTTGGAATGCTATCAGGCGCGCAAGCGTGGCTGCTACTACTACTACCCGTCTACTACGAGTAGCATTACTACGACTACGCTTCAAGTTACAGCTCAGTACGGACTCAAAAACCGCCATAACGGCGGCGGGCCGTCGAAAAACAATAATGTCCACGCGTCGGAGACTCAGCTGCCGCTGACGAGCGTTCTCGGGAAACGCTGCGCGGCGCTTTATCGGTCAAATCGAAGCGGAGCGACGGATTTGGAGTCGCAGGAGTTGAAGCGACGAGGTTGCGACAGAGCTCTGCGACATGATGTGCTCGAGGAATCGTCTTCTCCGGCTGTGGAGAGAACATTCGAGGAGTTTGGACGGATGAGGAAAACTGTTGCTCACAGCCCAAGGTCGTCTGAGTCGTCGCTTTCCGCTTCCGCCGCCGCGTCCCAAGGACGTTTGCTTCGATACAAGGCTTTGGCGGAATGGCCAGCGGCGGCGCAGAGAATCGCGGCGTCGGCGACGTGTGCTCAGGCGGCGGCGACGCGGCGCGAATGTCCGGCGACGATCGTCGAATTGCTGCAAAATATCAAGCGCAAAAAGCACGCCGTGACGTCATCTCCGTACGCGACATCATCGCCTACCACGTACGCGACGTCGCCTGCCGAAGAGTCATCTCTGCGCATCCAAGCTTCTAAAGCGGGCGCCGAAGTTATTCACGCGGGCGCGTGGCATCACAAGGAAGGAAACGAGGAAACGTGCGGTGCTCCTACGGGAACGGGGACCTACTACTCAAGAAACCCTAAAGTTCGTGCAGCAGAGCCAAAAGAATGTATCCCACTCATCACTGCTGCTTTGTCTCCAGCTAACGAAAATACGGGTTTCTCTAGTACGTCGGTTGCGGCGTTACCCCATCAGATTTCGAACAGTCAGTTTATTCCAATTTCCCAAGTTTCGTCCATTCCATTTTCGACAACGCACCTGTCCCTCGCAAATGTTTCGTCCATTCCGGCTTCGCAAGATCGAATTCAGGTTTCCGCAGCTCCCACGGTTTCGCCAAAACCTGTCCTCGAAGTTGGATCTGCGCCAAAACCCTCCGCTGCGCCTGCGCAAACTTCCGCGCTTGTTGCTCCGCACAATGCATCAGCCGCAACCGCAACTGCGCCATGGCGGAGCGGCGAGGAGAATGTGGATACAATGCAGGGTGATTTCCCCTGCAAATACCCGACTACACTCAGAGGGAAAGAGCCGTCGTGGAATAACCTAGTTTCTCTTTGCGACCTGGATGACGCCCAGCTGACGGCAGGTGCTGAGGCCTGCGAAACGCCGGGTGACGTCAGCGCCAGTCGTCTGAGCGGCTACGGAAGCGGCCAATGTGAAGATGAAACCAGCATGGAGGATGGAGATGCTAATAACGAGGATGGCGCGAACGGACATTTTTGCCTGGAGCTGGTTCGTGGGCTGTTCGTTATGGAGAGGACTGAAGTGGAGGGGACTAAAACGGAGGGAATTGAAATGGAGGGGATGGAAGAGAAGGCAACAGGGGGAGCGTCTCTTGAAGAGATTGGCATGGAGGGTCAGATTGAAGGCCTATTGACCCGCGATGACGAGAAAAACAACTGCGACAAGGTAGATGGCAGCTATATTGCATCAGCATTGCGTAATCATGAGCCGTTGGTGCTCCAGCCTTCTTTAAACCCACCTGGTGTATTCAACTATGCACACACTACCCCTGCCTCCACCCGCCTTACCTCTGCTCCTCTCTCTGCCTGTGCCGAAAGCACACGCGCTGCTGCCGCTGCTGCCTGTGCCACGTCAGCTTCCGTGTTTCTCCCCACTCCCATGGAGCCCACAGTCCCCAGCCGGCATGTGGTAACAGGGTTACCAGCACTGGTGCTCCCCCCTCCTTGCGGCAACAGCAGCACATGCAGTGATGATTGCAGTGCAGAATGCAAGGGCGAACACAAGGGGGAACGCAAGGGGGAGTGCAGCAGAGGATCGTGCTTCCCTTACGAGTCCACCCTCCTACCCTTCGGCCTGCCAAGCACACCCCCCCGACACGACACCATGGTGTATCCCTCCTGTGGAACCGACTCAGAGGAGCAGCGGCCGTTTGAGGCTACTGCTGCTGCCAGGGGGACAGACACTGGCGCTGCTCAGGATGTTTTTACTGTCAAGAAAGAGGAGGATGCTGAGCTGGACGCTGACGTGGACGCTGACGTGGCTGCTGACGTGGACGCGTGCAGCAGAGCGGCTCACGGATATGGGTACTCGAAGCAGGGGAGTGGAGGAGCGGTGGCAGCTGCTGCTACCATGCAGAAATCCAGACGGTGAGTCGTCCTCCACACGGCCTGGCTCATGGCTATTACATACCTGGTGTTTCAACAGCTACATCCCCTGTTCGTTGACACTGTGTGCGGCTGGGCGGTCAACTGAGCATTAGCCACGCGCGTCCGCATGTTTCCATGTCCCCGTGTCCAACGTGTGTTTTTGAGAATTCTCAAAAACCAACTCGCATGTTTCCATGTCCCTATGTCCAACGTCCCCATGCTCATGCTGTCCCACTGTCTCCGCCCTCCCATTCAACTTGGTACGGTGTGCAGGCGGGCGGCCAACAGGGCATCAGCCAAGCGCATTCGCATTCGACAGCAGCAGCACCTGCAGAAACTAGAATGCGAGGTACGACACCCACTACTAGAGTCACCTTTTTTTGGATACCCGTTAAAGTCACATGCATTTGGCAGCAACCGCACCTCTGCAGGCTAGAAGTCAAAGCACTGGACCCCCCTCGATGCTTTTAATTATTTCAACCCGTTTTAGTATATCCCTTTGAGCCTTGCCATCTTCACTCCCGCTCGCCCCCTTTCCCTTTTTGTCCATGTTCCAATGAACCCTAGAGGAACTTGAGTTTTAAATTCCCTCTCTCACACTCCCTCTCCCATTCCGGCCGCCCTCCTCACAACCACACCAGACACGTGAGCTGACAGATCGGTGCAAGGCGATGAGAGCAGAACTGGCCGAGGCGAGCCGTCAGGTGGTGGCTCAAAAGGAGCGCAACGAGGCTCTGGTGGAGGAGAAGCAGCGGCTGCTGCTGCTACTGGGAGGGAGATAGAGTACACTGCAATGGACGGCATGTAATGGACGGCATGTAGAGCCAACATGTGCGGATCACTCAGGGCAGACCTCGCAGAGGCGAGCAGGCGGGTTGCGGCTCAGAAGCAACGCAACGAGGCTCTGGTGGAGGAGAAGCAGCGGCTGCTGCTGCTGCTGGGAAAGAGATAGAGAGACTGCCTTGTTTTTGCATGTGATAACTCAAGTCGTCATTGGAGGTGCCTCAAACTGAGAGAGAGCGGACTGGTGCATGAGGCAACTCCCCAACCAACACCTGCACCGCTCTGCACCGCTCTGAATGGCAATGGGAGCGCTCCAGTGGCGAGCAGGCAGGTGGCGGCTCCGAAGCAACGCAACGAGGCTCCGGTGGGGGAGAAGCATCGGCGGCTGCTGCTGCTGCTGCTGCTGGGGAAGAGATTGACCAGCGGGCTGCTGGGGGAGAGATCGACCAGCGGGCTGCTGGGGAAGAGATCGACCAGCGGGCTGCTGGGGGAGAGATCGACCAGCGGGCTGCTGGGGGAGAGATCGACCAGCGGGCTGCTGGGGAAGAGATCGACCAGCGGGCTGCTGGAATCTACTAGGGTTGGCCATGAGATGATGGTTCAGCTCATCTGCACGTTTCGCGGTAGAAGTTGGGATTTGAGACGTCTCAAAACGTTGGCATCGCTTTTGAGAAGGCTGCTGGAATTTACTTGCTGGTCAGGTCACTCATGAGATGCTTCAACTCAACTCATCTGCACCACGTCTCAGCTGCTAAGGGATTGCCTTGTGGACGCAATGGAATGCATGCTGCATGCTGCATCTCAGGTCAACCTTTTGAGTCGGCTCAAAAGTCACGTCTCAGCTGCAAAGGGATTGCCTTTTGGATGGAATGCATGCTGCATTCTGCATCTCAGGTCAACCAACAGCTGAGTCTCGCATGTACAGGGACCAGCGGTATGTGGGAGCACACCACACGGCAGAGGCAGCTCGTTGTAAGCCAAGTGCGGTGCTGAGGCGCCACACAAGGAAAATCTTAATTCTATGGTATTTCTACAGGGTACGGTAGGTAGGTAGGTACCTACGTACGGGAGAATAAACTGCTGTGTGTAACATCTGACCTCTAGAGGAACGCATGCAGAGGTTCGGTCGTACTGGTAGCGATTTGAGGGGCGCTAACTACCCCAACTGTTGGAGAATAAGGGTGCATTCCTGTGTCGACATTTGTGTCTAACTCCCCTTTTTCCCGAGTCACGTCGAAACATTTTGTCAATCTCGCGTCACAAAAAATGAATGTATCGCGAAACTACGGTAGGCGACCAGGCGATATGCACAATTGGTTTCTTGATGGTACCATGATGTGTGCTTCGTGGGAAATGATGTGCTGTTCTTGAAGTGCACTGTTGAGCATTCCAAACAAGGTGGACTGGGAAGGGAACATGAGGAACTTTAAAAAACTATGGGTACCGTTTGGTATGGAAAACACTGAATGTACCGTAAATCCCTTAGCTTTGAAAAGGTTCATTCATTGTCCAACTAAGCTTGGTTGGTTACTGAATAACTGCACTTGTAGCACCGTAGAGTAGATGCTTTGTGGTGAAGCGCTTGCAAACGCCCCCAAATTAGCTTGTTGACAGCTCCGTCTACTCCTGCACCTCCGTCTACTCCTGCACCTCCGTCTACTCCTGCACCTCCGTCTACTCCTGCACCTCCCTCTACTCCTACACCTCCCTCTACTCCTGCACCTCCCTCTACTCCTGCACCTCTGTCTTGCCTTGCCTCCTTCCCTCCCTCTCCTCCCTCCTCCTGTCATCGCCCCTTCCCCACTCGCCCTGCACCGCCACTCCCCGACTTTGCTCCTCCGCCCGCTCCCTTCGCTCCTCCACCTCCTGCCCCCCCACCTGCGCCCCCCTGTAGAGCAGCCTCGAGCTCTCGTATTGCTTTCTTGGAGTTGAGAACTAGCAGGAACTGCAGAGGGGTGCAGAGGGGTGCAACGGGGTGCAGAGAAATTTGAGACGTCTCAACGCTCCCCCACCTGCGCCCCCCTGTAGAGCAGCCTTGAGCTCTCGTATCCTTGCCTTCTTGGCGTTCAGGACCAACAGGAACTGCAGAGGGGTACAAAGAGGTGCAGAGAGATTCGAGACGCTTCAAGGCTCGTTCACCACTGGGCCACCCCAGCAACAGTCTCAATATCTCATAACTTGTATCCTTGCCTTGTTGGCGTTGAGGTCTAACAGGAACTGCAGAGGGGTGCAGAGGGGTGCAGCGGGGTGCAGCGGGGTGCAGAGAGAGACATGCGTGCAGACGCACGCACATAAACATGCACAGATATGCAGTCATACATGGAGTAAGCTCAAGAACAAAGAAAATGTAACAACCTAACACAAAACAGAAACGGAAAAACCAACAATGAAACAAACAGACAAAAAAATACCAAGCAAGAAGCCTAGGCAGGCTGTTTCTTGAACAGCCATTCCTCCTCCCCTTGCCCTTGTGCCTTAGTGCACGATGTCACTGCACAGTAACCAACATTCCTCACCCTTCTTAAAGTGATACAACAGATAAAACACTGGGTTGCAAGCAAAGCTTGCAATAACCGCACCCTGCGACGCCACGCCACACCTTGCAATCACCACAACACACCTTGCAATCACCACAACACACCTTGCAATCCCCACGTCACACCTTGCAATCACCACAACACACCTTGCAATCACCACGCCACACCTTGCAATCACCACACCACACCTTGCAATCACCACGCCACACCCTGCAATCACCACACCACACCTTGCAATCACCACAACACACCTTGCAATCACCACACCACACCTTGCAATCACCACACCACACCTTGCAATCACCACAACACACCTTGCAATCACCACACCACACCTTGCAATCACCACAACACACCTTGCAATCACCACACCACACCTTGCAATCACCACACCACACCTTGCAATCACCACAACACACCTTGCAATCACCACACCACACCTTGCAATCACCACACCACACCTTCCCCAGCAGCTCGTCCTCCAGTCGGCTCTTCTCCTCTCTGAACCGCTCACTCTGCTGCAAGCACCGCTCTGCCTCCCTCTGCATCCTCCCACACGCCTCCCTGCTGCGCTGCTGCTCCGCCTGTGAACGAAAAAGGGTGGAAAACGGGGAAAGGCGGGGGTGGGGAATCGGCGGGGGAGGAGAATTGGGCGGGAGGGGGGGAGGGGAGATAGAGAGGGGAGGGGTCTCAATGCTTGGGGTATACAAGCTCAACTGCAGCCTCCCACATGCCTCCATTCCATTGTGCACTCCATTGGGCAGCAGCCCACATGCTCAACTGCAGCCTCCCACATGCCTCCATTCCATTGTGCACTCCATTGGGCAGCAGCCCACATTCTCAACTGCAGCCTCCCACATGCCTCCATTCCATTGTGCACTCCATTGGGCAGCAGCCCACATGCTCAACTGCAGCCTCCCACATGCCTCCATTCCATTGTGCACTCCATTGGGCAGCAGCCCACATGCTCAACTGCAGCCTCCCACATGCCTCCATTCCATTGTGCACTCCATTGGGCAGCAGCCCACATGCTCAACTGCAGCCTCCAACATGCCTCCATTCCATTGTGCACTCCATTGGGCAGCAGCCCACATGCTCAACTGCAGCCTCCCACATGCCTCCATTCCATTGTGCACTCCATTGGGCAGCAGCCCACATGCTCAACTGCAGCCTCCCACATGCCTCCATTCCATTGTGCACTCCATTGGGCAGCAGCCCACATGCTCAACTGCAGCCTCCAACATGCCTCCATTCCATTGTGCACTCCATTGGGCAGCGGCCCACATGCTCAACTGCAGCCTCCCACATGCCTCCATTCCATTGTGCACTCCATTGGGCAGCAGCCCACATGCTCAACTGCAGCCTCCCACATGCCTCCATTCCATTGTGCACTGCTGCTCCTCACACAGACTGCCATGCTATACCTGCCTGCCAGCACTGATACGCATGCTGCAGCATGCAGACATGCATGCTGTGGCATGCATGCTGTGGCATGCATGCTGTGACATGCATGCTGTGGCATGCATGCTATGGCAATAAATCTCCAAGGCTCACCAGAGCAGCAGCAACGGCGGCGGCGGCGGCGACGACGGTGGCAGCAGCAGTGGCAGCAGCAGTGGCAGCAGCAGTGGCAGCAGCATCTTCACAGACTCACCTGCGCGGCAGCAGCCCAGCACATGGTTGCTTTGAGGATGCGGCCCACCGCTGCTCGCTGCTGCTCCTGAAGCACTGATGAAGGCTTGACGGGTTCTCCCGCCTGGCCGAAACATGTTAGTGCGACCTGATCTGTTCGAGTGAAAACAGTTCTTGCGATCAGAGTTTTCCTAGCTAGGGAATTTTTGAGACCTCTCAATACAAACTGAGTTTTCCTAGCTAGGGATTTTTTACTCTCTTTCTTACTTGCTAAAGCTTTTCTCTAGTACTGCTGCCCTTCCGCCATGAGTGACGACAACCTGTGCGGCAGCAGCCCAGCACATGATTTCTTCGAGGATGCGCCCCACCGCTGCTCGCTGCTGCTCCTGCCATGCCATGCCATACCATGCCATGCCATGCCATACCATGCTACACGATTCCATGCCATGCCATGCCCCGCCACACACACCCACGGCCCACCTGTGCAACAGCCGCCCCACTCATAGCTCCATCCAGTATCCGTCCCACCGCTGCTCGCTGCTGCTGCTGCCATGCCATACCATGCCACGCCATTCCAGGCCACTCCATGCCATGCCATGCCATGCCATGCCATGCCATGCCATGCCATGCCATGCCATGCCATGCCATGCACCCCCACCCCCACAGCCCACCTGTGCAACAGCCGCCCCACTCATTGCTTCATCAAGTATCCGCCCCACTGCCTGTCGCTGCTGCTGCTGCCCCTGCCATGCTTTGCCATGCATACATGCACGCCCTACATCACGACCCACCTGTGCAGCAGCAGCTCCTCTCATGGCTTCATCGAGTATCCGCCCCACTGCTGCTCGCTGCTGCTCTTCCCCCTCCACCGCCCTCAGCTGCACACTCGCCCTCATCTCCACGTCTTCCCGCTGCACTGGCCATGCGAGCTGTGAAGGGGTGAGGAAGGGGGGATAGGGAGCGGGAAAAGGGAGGGGGGAAAGGGAGGGGGAAAGGGAGGGGGGAAAGGGAGGGGGGAAAGGCAGGGGGGAATGGGAGGAATTGTGAGGATTGCCGGGCCACCACTGCTGCTGCTCCTCCCATTCCACTGCCCTCAGCACCACACTCGCCCTCATCTCCATCTCTGTCCGCTGCACTGCACTGCACTGCCCATGCAAGCTGTGTGCGGTGCGGGGGGAGAGGAGAGGAGAGGAGAGGAGAGGAGAGGAGAGGAGAGGAGAGGAGAGGAGAGGAGAGGGGGACGAGGAGGGAGAACGGAGTAAAACGGGAGCAATCTGCCAGCATGTCGATCACGGCATTTACCACGTGGCCTGCGCTGGCTGGCCTGTGCTGTGCTGTGCTGTGCTGTGCTGGGCTGTGCTGTGCTGTGCTGGGCGATCTGTGCTTGCTCCTCGCCCCCCACCCCCCCCTGAGCTCCACACTCGCCCTCATCTCCAGCCCTGACCGCTGCACTGCACTGCCCATGCGAGCTTAGAAGGGGGGGAGGGGGAAGAGGAGAAAACGGCGAGGAATCGGACTGGTGAGCGCTGAGCTGATCTGAGTCGACTCAAGACGGCTTCTTTTTTTGTTGTCAGGTCGCCATTGCCACTGCGCTCACCATTGCCACTGCGCTCGCCATTGCCACTGCGCTCACCATTGCCACTGCGCTCACCATTGCCACTGCGCTCACCATTGCCACTGCGCTCACCATTGCCACTGCGCTCACCATTGCCACTGCGCTCACCATTGCCACTGCGCTCACCATTGCCACTGCGCTCGCCATTGCCACTGCGCTCGCCATTGCCACTGCGCTCGCCATTGCCACTGCGCTCGCCATTGCCACTGCGCTCACCATTGCCACTGCGCTCACCATTGCCACTGCGCTCACCATTGCCACTGCGCTCACCATTGCCACTGCGCTCACCATTGCCACTGCGCTCACCATTGCCACTGCGCTCACCATTGCCACTGCGCTCACCATTGCCACTGCGCTCACCATTGCCACTGCGCTCGCCATTGCCACTGCGCTCGCCATTGCCACTGCGCTCACCATTGCCACTGCGCTCACCATTGCCACTGCGCTCGCCATTGCCACTGCGCTCACCATTGCCACTGCGCTCACCATTGCCACTGCGCTCGCCATTGCCACTGCGCTCACCATTGCCACTGCGCTCACCATTGCCACTGCGCTCGCCATTGCCACTGCGCTCACCATTGCCACTGCGCTCACCATTGCCACTGCGCTCACCATTGCCACTGCGCTCACCATTGCCACAGCCCCCGCCACTGCCACCCCCCTCACCTCCAAACTCGCCCTCACCTCCAGCCATCCAATTCAATCAGCTACAGCCTACAGCCATCAAATAGCCATCCAATCAGGTACTGTCCCTCCGTCCATCAGACGTCCAATGCCCACCTGCCACGTGGAAGCCTGCTCTTGAGTGTCTCGGGCTCTCTTGCTGCGCCGGCCCCATGTGAAGCTGGAAGAGGCGGACGGCTGGTGGGAAGGGGGGGAGAGAAGAGGAGAGGAGAGGAGAGGAGAGGAGAGGAGAGGAGAGGAGAGGAGAGGAGAGGAGAGGAGAGGGGAGGAGAGGAGAGAAGAGGAGAGGAGAGGAGAGGAGAGGAGAGGAGAGGAGAGAAGAGGAGAGGAGGTGGGCGGAGAGGAGAGGAGAGGAGAGGGAGGAGGAGAGGAGAGGAGAGAGGAGCGGAAGAGGAGAGGAGAAGGAAGGAGAGGGAGAGGAGAGGAGAGGAGAGGAGAGGAGAGGAGAGGAGAGGAGGAGAGGAGAGAGGAGAGGAGAGGAGAGGAGAGGAGAGAAGAGGAGAGGAGAGGAGAGGAGAGGAGAGGAGAGGAGAGGAGAGGAGGGTAAGCAAGGAGGGTTTTGAAACCAAGGGCGAGCAACTGGATAAGAGGGGAGGGGTGACAGTAGGAATGGTTTCTTTTGTTTCTCCAAACAATCCCCAGGTGGTAGTATGGGGGTGATGGGGGGTGATGAGGGGGTGATGGGGGGTGATGGGGGGGGTGATGGGGGGTGATGGTGGGTGAGATGGGTGGTGATGGTGGGTGATGGTGGTGATGGTGGGTGATGGTGGGTGATGTGGGGTGATGGTGGGTGATGGTGGGTGATGGTGGGTGATGGTGGGTGATGGTGGGTGATGGTGGGTGATGGTGGGTGATGGTGGGTGATGGTTGGGTGGTGATGGTGGGTGATGGTGGGTGATGGTGGGTGATGGTGGTTGATGGTGGGTGATGGTGGGTGATGGTGGGTGATGGTGGGTTTTGTTGGTGATGGTGGGTGATGGTGGGTGATGGTGGGTTATGGTGGGTTATGGTGGGTGATGGTGGGTGATGGTGGGGGTGATGGTGGTGATGGTGGGTGGTTTCTGGTGGGTGATGGTGGGTGATGGTGGGTGATGGTGGGTTATGGTGGGTGATGGTGGGTGACGGTGGGTGGCCTGGAAAGGATAAGTGTTTCGGTTTGAGAAGGTGCGAGGTGCAGTGGCCTCAAAGCGCTGCTGGTAGCACGTCTCTGTTGCATTCACCTGAGCCAAAGCTGCTCGGAGCACATCTCTGTTGTATTCACCTGGCGTCTGAAACCCCCACGCCTCCGCCTTCTCCCACATCTCCTCCTCCTCCACTGCCCAGACAGGGGGGAGTGGATCATTCACACGTGGACAAAAGAGTGGGCCGGGGGCGCCTCAAAATCGCCTTCTCCCACATCTCCTCCTCCTCCTCCTCCTCCTCCACTGCGTTATCGATTCAAGAGGGAGTAAGCGAGAGGGCGAGGAGGAGGTTATATACAGCAGTGTTGGAGTGGAGAAACGAGCGAAGCAGTGTTGGAGTGGAGAAACGAGCGAAGCAGTGTTGGAGTGGAGAAACGAGCGAAGCAGTGTTGGAGTGGAGAAACGAGCGAAGCAGTGTTGGAGTGGAGAAACGAGCGAAGCAGTGTTGGAGTGGAGAAACGAGCGAAGCAGTGTTGGAGTGGAGAAACGAGCGAAGCAGTGTTGGAGTGGAGAAACGAGCGAAGCAGTGTTGGAGTGGAGAAACGAGCGAAGCAGTGTTGGAGTGGAGAAACGAGCGAAGCAGTGTTGGAGTGGAGAAACGAGCGAAGCAGTGTTGGAGTGGAGAAACGAGCGAAGCAGTGTTGGAGTGGAGAAACGAGCGAAGCAGTGTTGGAGTGGAGAAACGAGCGAAGCAGTGTTGGAGTGGAGAAACGAGCGAAGCAGTGTTGGAGTGGAGAAACGAGCGAAGCAGTGTTGGAGTGGAGAAACGAGCGAAGCAGTGTTGGAGTGGAGAAACGAGCGAAGCAGTGTTGGAGTGGAGAAACGAGCGAAGCAGTGTTGGAGTGGAGAAACGAGCGAAGCGGTCCGTTTTAGTGAGAAACGAGCGAAGCAGTGTTGGAGTGGAGAAACGAGCGAAGCAGTGTTGGAGTGGAGAAACGAGCGAAGCAGTGTTGGAGTGGAGAAACGAGCGAAGCAGTGTTGGAGTGGAGAAACGAGCGAAGCAGTGTTGGAGTGGAGAAACGAGCGAAGCAGTGTTGGAGTGGAGAAACGAGCGAAGCAGTGTTGGAGTGGAGAAACGAGCGAAGCAGTGTTGGAGTGGAGAAACGAGCGAAGCAGTGTTGGAGTGGAGAAACGAGCGAAGCAGTGTTGGAGTGGAGAAACGAGCGAAGCAGTGTTGGAGTGGAGAAACGAGCGAAGCAGTGTTGGAGTGGAGAAACGAGCGAAGCAGTGTTGGAGTGGAGAAACGAGCGAAGCAGTGTTGGAGTGGAGAAACGAGCGAAGCAGTGTTGGAGTGGAGAAACGAGCGAAGCAGTGTTGGAGTGGAGAAACGAGCGAAGCAGTGTTGGAGTGGAGAAACGAGCGAAGCAGTGTTGGAGTGGAGAAACGAGCGAAGCAGTGTTGGAGTGGAGAAACGAGCGAAGCAGTGTTGGAGTGGAGAAACGAGCGAAGCAGTGTTGGAGTGGAGAAACGAGCGAAGCAGTGTTGGAGTGGAGAAACGAGCGAAGCAGTGTTGGAGTGGAGAAACGAGCGAAGCAGTGTTGGAGTGGAGAAACGAGCGAAGCAGTGTTGGAGTGGAGAAACGAGCGAAGCAGTGTTGGAGTGGAGAAACGAGCGAAGCAGTGTTGGAGTGGAGAAACGAGCGAAGCAGTGTTGGAGTGGAGAAACGAGCGAAGCAGTGTTGGAGTGGAGAAACGAGCGAAGCGGTCCGTTTTAGTGGAGAAACGAGCGAAGCAGTGTTGGAGTGGAGAAACGAGCGAAGCAGTGTTGGAGTGGAGAAACGAGCGAAGCAGTGTTGGAGTGGAGAAACGAGCGAAGCAGTGTTGGAGTGGAGAAACGAGCGAAGCAGTGTTGGAGTGGAGAAACGAGCGAAGCAGTGTTGGAGTGGAGAAACGAGCGAAGCAGTGTTGGAGTGGAGAAACGAGCGAAGCAGTGTTGGAGTGGAGAAACGAGCGAAGCAGTGTTGGAGTGGAGAAACGAGCGAAGCGGTCCGTTGGAGTGGAGAAACGAGCGAAGCAGTGTTGGAGTGGAGAAACGAGCGAAGCAGTGTTGGAGTGGAGAAACGAGCGAAGCAGTGTTGGAGTGGAGAAACGAGCGAAGCAGTGTTGGAGTGGAGAAACGAGCGAAGCAGTGTTGGAGTGGAGAAACGAGCGAAGCAGTGTTGGAGTGGAGAAACGAGCGAAGCAGTGTTGGAGTGGAGAAACGAGCGAAGCAGTGTTGGAGTGGAGAAACGAGCGAAGCAGTGTTGGAGTGGAGAAACGAGCGAAGCAGTGTTGGAGTGGAGAAACGAGCGAAGCAGTGTTGGAGTGGAGAAACGAGCGAAGCAGTGTTGGAGTGGAGAAACGAGCGAAGCAGTGTTGGAGTGGAGAAACGAGCGAAGCAGTGTTGGAGTGGAGAAACGAGCGAAGCAGTGTTGGAGTGGAGAAACGAGCGAAGCAGTGTTGGAGTGGAGAAACGAGCGAAGCAGTGTTGGAGTGGAGAAACGAGCGAAGCAGTGTTGGAGTGGAGAAACGAGCGAAGCAGTGTTGGAGTGGAGAAACGAGCGAAGCAGTGTTGGAGTGGAGAAACGAGCGAAGCAGTGTTGGAGTGGAGAAACGAGCGAAGCAGTGTTGGAGTGGAGAAACGAGCGAAGCAGTGTTGGAGTGGAGAAACGAGCGAAGCAGTGTTGGAGTGGAGAAACGAGCGAAGCAGTGTTGGAGTGGAGAAACGAGCGAAGCAGTGTTGGAGTGGAGAAACGAGCGAAGCAGTGTTGGAGTGGAGAAACGAGCGAAGCAGTGTTGGAGTGGAGAAACGAGCGAAGCAGTGTTGGAGTGGAGAAACGAGCGAAGCAGTGTTGGAGTGGAGAAACGAGCGAAGCAGTGTTGGAGTGGAGAAACGAGCGAAGCAGTGTTGGAGTGGAGAAACGAGCGAAGCAGTGTTGGAGTGGAGAAACGAGCGAAGCAGTGTTGGAGTGGAGAAACGAGCGAAGCAGTGTTGGAGTGGAGAAACGAGCGAAGCAGTGTTGGAGTGGAGAAACGAGCGAAGCAGTGTTGGAGTGGAGAAACGAGCGAAGCAGTGTTGGAGTGGAGAAACGAGCGAAGCAGTGTTGGAGTGGAGAAACGAGCGAAGCAGTGTTGGAGTGGAGAAACGAGCGAAGCAGTGTTGGAGTGGAGAAACGAGCGAAGCAGTGTTGGAGTGGAGAAACGAGCGAAGCAGTGTTGGAGTGGAGAAACGAGCGAAGCAGTGTTGGAGTGGAGAAACGAGCGAAGCAGTGTTGGAGTGGAGAAACGAGCGAAGCAGTGTTGGAGTGGAGAAACGAGCGAAGCAGTGTTGGAGTGGAGAAACGAGCGAAGCAGTGTTGGAGTGGAGAAACGAGCGAAGCAGTGTTGGAGTGGAGAAACGAGCGAAGCAGTGTTGGAGTGGAGAAACGAGCGAAGCAGTGTTGGAGTGGAGAAACGAGCGAAGCAGTGTTGGAGTGGAGAAACGAGCGAAGCAGTGTTGGAGTGGAGAAACGAGCGAAGCAGTGTTGGAGTGGAGAAACGAGCGAAGCAGTGTTGGAGTGGAGAAACGAGCGAAGCAGTGTTGGAGTGGAGAAACGAGCGAAGCAGTGTTGGAGTGGAGAAACGAGCGAAGCAGTGTTGGAGTGGAGAAACGAGCGAAGCAGTGTTGGAGTGGAGAAACGAGCGAAGCAGTGTTGGAGTGGAGAAACGAGCGAAGCGGTCCGTTTTAGTGGAGAAACGAGCGAAGCAGTGTTGGAGTGGAGAAACGAGCGAAGCAGTGTTGGAGTGGAGAAACGAGCGAAGCAGTGTTGGAGTGGAGAAACGAGCGAAGCAGTGTTGGAGTGGAGAAACGA